GATGTATTTCACTGTAACTGAAACACAGCTCTCTGAGTGTGGTCTGCTAATAGTGCTCAAGCCCACTGGCTGCTGCTGAATTCTTGCTTTGTTGTTTTTGGTGCTCTTCTCTTTGCCTGCTGTAGGTTCGTTGCTTTTATTCACCCCCCTGGGCACTGAATTGAAGAGACAGTGCTTTTTGTGTCTTTCCTGTGGTGGAGGGACCGTTTTAATACTGGACCACTGGCTCAGTTGGCTTGGGTGACTCAGACCCCCATATCTGTCAGCAGGAAGAGGTCCCATGGGTGCAACCGTCCTCTGCCTGGGGGGTGGGGGTGGGGGTCGCCGGAGGCCCAAAGTGCAGGCAGGCTTGCCTAGAGTAGGGAAATCCTGAGCCTGCAGGCCTCAGCTGGCCTGCAGGGGCGTCTGAGCAGCCTGGCAGGGCACATGGGCCCCCTGAACAAGCCATGCCCACTCCCCTCCTCAACCCCTGAGCCCTCGGCCCGGAGGCTCCTCGGTTCTGGGAGAGCAGGTGGGGAGAGGAATCCCCTTGCTGTCTCCGAGGGGGACCCCACTGCCACACCCCTCTCACGGGGAGGTCTTTCCCGTGCCCCACCAAGTCCCCTCATGGCTCCTGTTTCAGAACTTGGGGGAAGATCTGCGCTGGAGCAGCTCCCATTCATGAGGGGCACAGCCGTGGTATTATGCGAAACATATTTATCATGCTAATTAAAATAATGTAGCTTTATTTATTCATTTAAAACATTTTTACCACACCTATACCCACAATCGGTCTCAAGATGGCTCACAGAAACAGCAGCATATTGAAAGGACACATACAGAGATGAAATTCCAATATGAAAAATCCATCAACCCATAAAATCCTGGGAAAATAAAAAGGGTTTGGACTGGCACCAAAAAGAATGAAGCATCAGTGTCAGGAGCACCTCTCTGGAAAGCAGATTCCAAAGCTGCGGTGCCAGCACAGAAAAGGTAACCAGCAGAGGGAATATAGGACTGGCATTATATGGTGGCGTCTGCCAGTCCCAGTGAGCAGTCGTGCAGCTCTGTTCTGCGCCAACGAAACTCTCCCAACCATCTTCGAGGGTGGAGCACATTGGAATGGCGGTGAATGATAGAGTGTGCGAGCTGAAAATTATGGTCCGTCAAAGCAGCTCAGGGAGAGTGTGCAATGGACTGAGGAAGACCTTTCTGACATCACTAGGCGACTGCCCTTGTCCTCACAAACACCGACATTTTCTCTTCCTCCTGACTGGCACTGCAACACTTTGGCCACCTCCTTTTCTAACTCTGCTGTCAGATCCCACAGCAAACCTCTCTATGAAGTCCTGCCTTGCAGCTCAAGAAGAGTGACCTTGCGACAGCTTTCCTCTGTTCCTTACCTGGAAATTGCACCCAGACCAGGATGGACAATATCCTCAAGAGCTTCATGTTCTGGCCAAGCTGGAGGGAGAGAAAGTGGACCTGAGCTCTCCAAGGAAGCACACAATTTTCTAGTCCGGGAGCTGGCAGGGACACTCCGAGGTTCCCTGATGAGTCCTTTATGAGTGTAAAAATTGAACTGTTGAAGTTACTTTTGATAGGAGAAAAAGGAAGTCTTCTCTTTCACAATCCTTCCTTCTTACAGTGCTGGGCTATTCCTTCTTTTATTTTAAAAGAAATGCTGATTTCAGTTGTGACAACCCAGCTTCCTCAATGTCAGAGCAATACATCAGAGGAAGCAGCTGCCTAGAGAGGGAGTGGGCTCTCTCACACTAGGGGCATTCAAGGGGAAACTGGACAGCCATCTGAGTGGGTTGGTGTGACTTGGTGCCCTGCAACAGCAGGGGGGG